AAACAGATGAGGAAGAAGAGCCTAGTGATCTGCTTGTAAAAAGAATGGCCAGTAAAAACGGTATGAACAGCAGAAGAACACTGTCTGATATATGGCCAGAAGCTGTAAGACATTCAAAATACAACTGGGGAAGAGCTATCCCTCCAAAGTAGAACTGACCTCAATGACATGTATTGAGTAAAGTTTTTGGAAACTTCATTTGCTGCTATGATTCAAAAAGGGAAGAAATAGCTACAAACCATGATTAGTGTTAGAAACACTAATGTGTAAAGTATGAATCTAGGAAAATTGGAAGTATTCAAAATGAAACAACACACACAAAGATTGATATTCTAGGCATTTAGTGAGCTGAAATGGACTGGTATTGACCATTCCTAATCAGGCAATCATATGATCTACTATGCTGGGAATGACAAATTAAAGAGGAATGTCATCACATTCATCTATAAAAAGAACATTTCAAGATTTATCCTGAAGTACAACACTGTCAATGATAAGATAATATCCATATATCTAGAAGGAGGGCTATTATTCAAATTAATGTACCAACTACTAAAGCCAAAGGTGAAGAAACTGAAGATTTTACCAACTTCTGCAGTTGAAAATTGATCAAACATGCATTCAGGATGAACTGATAATTATTGGTGATTGGAATGCTAAAGCTGGAAATAAAGAAGAATCAGTAGTTGTAAAATATGGCCTTGGTGACAGAATTCTCAAACAAAACAAAGCCAGATATCTCTGATGGCATTATGGTTACAGATTGGGCTGCTAAACAATCAGTGGTTCAAATCCACCAGCTGCTCTGTGGAAGAAAGATGAGGTAGTCTGCTTCTGCAAAGACTTACAGCATTGGAAACACTATGGACAGTTCTACTTTGTTTTACAGGGTCACTATGAGTCAGAATCCACTTGATGGTGCTGAGTTTGGGTTTGTTTGTTTTGTATGAAAGATTCTAAGGCTAAAATATTGAACAATGCAGGAAGCATTAAAAGATGGAAGAAATATACAGAGTCACTGTACCAAAAATAATTGATCAGTGTTCAACCATTTCAAGAGGTAAAATATGATTAAGAACCAATGGTACTGATGGAAGAAGTCCAAGGTGCACTGAAAGCACTAGTGAAAAACAAGGCTCCAGGAATTGACCAAATACTAATTGAGATGTTTCAATAACTAGACACAATGCTGGAAGCTCTCATTCGTCTATGCCAAGAAATTCAGACACAGATACCAGACCAACAGACAAGAAAATATCCATATTCGTGCTCACTGCATAGAAAGGTGATCCAAAAGAATGCAGAAATGATCAAATAGTATCATCAATATCACATGGAAGGAAAATTTTGCTTAAGATAATTAAAAATTATTACAGTTTAATACACAGAGATTCAAGCTGGATTCAGAAGAGGACATGGAGTAAGGGATACCATTGCTGATGTCATATGGATGTTGGCTGAAAGCAGAGATTACCAAGAAGATGATTACCTGTGTTTTTGACTACACAAAGCCATATGACTGTGTGGATTATAACAAATAATGGATGACATTGTGAAGAATGGGAATTCAGAACACTTAATACTGCTCATGTGGATCCTATATATAGATCAAGAGGCAGTCAAACAGAACAAGGTGATACTGCCTGGGTTAAAATCAGGAAAGGTGTCCTGATGCAAGTTACCATCTGCCTTTGAGTCTCAGTTTCCTTATATGCAAAATAAGAGTCTTCCTAACTTCAGCATTTTGTATTTCTATAATATAACAGAAATGACAATGTCATATCTGGCATAAGAAAATGCAGCTGCTTATTTTGAATAGCATCAAAAATGTGTCCCATTTGTTTGCTTAGGAGAATCACTGTTTAACTGAGGTAACCATTCTCAAAGGGAGAAAACATCAGGTGAATTCTTTCCTAAAACATTCTGACATTCTTTTCTCTTAAATATAATAAACATTCTCTAGAATTAGCATTATCTATTGATGACAACAGTCCATTTGCTGCTAGCATGTTTGTTTAACAATGCTTTATAATTTAAATCCAATACCTGCTGTGAATACTCCAAGTAAACACTGATTTGGGAGTTCATAAATAACATGGCTACATAGATTAAATCAATTCAACTTATGCTTTGCCTACATTGCTTTTATTTTCTTTTGTTTTAAGTGTCTGTGCTATCACATTCACCTAACTGTGGTTTTTAAGTCACTAAAGGAAAACTGCCAATCATTTCATTTTTAACCAGAGCAAAAAAAAATTTTTTTTTTTTTTTTTTTTAAAAACAGCACACTAAGCCCCAAATGCAGGTATACTGGTCTATGGGTACATACACATTTTAATATATGTTTGACCTTGAGATTTTTTTTTGTTATCTCTATCATGAGGAAAATCACAGCCTTTCTCACCCATAAATCAGGAGACCCAAGGAAGATGAAAAGCTGATAAAGGTCTTAATGGATTGCTTTAGGGTTTATTGGGAGAGGATTTCCTTTCCTTCATCTACAAAGTTATTCTTTAGTATAATCTTATAAAAACTGATAGTTTCTTCCCTAAAACCAAAGAAAATAAATAGACCCATGGTGATGATCACTTTGTTGAGAGGTTCTTAACCTTTGGTCACCGCTTATGTTTGATGTTTGTGGAGCTCAAAATTGTTTGAAAAATGTATACATATGTAATAAATACATTTTTTATCCAGTTCTCAAAAATATACATTCCCCCCAAAATATTAAAAATTACTGATTTGGTCCAAATGAGAAATCTTAATCTCACAATGAGAAGTCATCTGTGATAGTCACACCATTAGCCAATGAGAGCTCTGAAACCCAAACCCCTAGGGTTAATCATGCTGGGATGCATTGAAGTGCTAATTCTTGAACAAACAGATTATGCTCCTTAAATCTGTTTCATTTTGTGAATAACCTTTGCTGCTTTATTTATTGCAAAGATAGAGTTTATAGAGATTTCAAGAATACCATTTCTCTTTTAACATTCACTGCCATTAAAATTAATGATTTAAGACTTGTATGGCAAGAATTTGCCCCCAAAAATCCCCACCTCCCAAAAAACAAGCTCTTTTAAATACATGCTTGAGGAAGTCCTAATGTCATTCTTACCTACAGAAGCAAAAAATACTTATGTTTAACTTTTAATAGTAGGTTGAACATCTAACTGGAATTTAAAATTTAGATGGCAGAGGCTCATCTACAATACCAGACCTGCATTGAACTATCATCATTCTTTCGAAAACTCCTCCAGTTTTATTAAAATTAGGCATATTAACATAATCACATAAATAATTTAGTAAAGAGTTATGCCATAGTATTGCACGTTAAGCCTGGACTAGTTTACTAGAAAGATTCCTTTTACAACTTTCTTTGAATATATGGTTTTATGAAATTTTTTAAATTTAAAAAGTGCTACCAAGATGGACTGGTTATTAAATATACCTTCAGAGCTAAATCCACAGGAACATTGCACATTTCCCATTACCTTTTGTGACTCATCTTCCTTTCCCAGAAGGCAGAAAAACAATTCCAAGGAAAAGAACAAATATCTACTAATAAATATGCTTCAGGCATTCAACCCTAATGTTAGCATGTTTGATTATGACTGGTGAATCATAGCAAAAAATTGACATCTGTCATGTTATGTTATCTTATAGCACGCAAAATTTTAACAAAGGCAAGAAAAATCATACTGCTGATTTCACCAATGTACTGTATTTGCTACCAACTGATAGATGTCCACAACACAAAATCACTAAACTGTGCAAATGACTTAATTCTTGAAGTACTGGCATGGATTTGTCCTTTGAGCTGAGAATATAATGGTCTCAAATGATAGAATCACACAGCACTGGTCCCAACAGTGACTTTAAATCCAAAAATTCCCCGTTAAGACCCAGGATTTCAGACAGAGTAACAATAATGTTATTGATACTATATTTAAATTTGACTAATGAGTGAAATATTTCTTGTTTTATAGTAAAATACACTTTTCCTATTCGGGAATATGACTATACTTTCAATGTCTCTAGCATACACCAATGTATGACAAAGGAGAGAGATTTTGTATCTCAGTGCTGACTGACAGATACGATGCCATTTGGTCATAAAATGTAGGTGATATGCCTGGTAATATGGTGACTAAAATAAAAAAATAAAAAGGAGGCTGAATATTGACAAAGGAAAAAAAGAGATATTAATCTATGAGCTCCTTTATAATTGAGAGTAATGGTATTTTTATGTAATAATTATAGATAAAATAAATTGGAGATGAAATGGATGTAGTAAACCATTGTGTCTAAGAATATCAAAAGAGGGCAGATTTCCCTTGGAAGGGGAAAAAGAAAGAAAAATATAAAAAATAGATGCTATGTCAAAATTTGCTGAAGGTTCAGTCAGTTTATAGTATACAGATACCAAGCAGAGGTATTAACATCAGTAGTGAGGAAGATTAGCTATTGGCACAAAGTACCCGTATCAATACAGACTCCCGTGTTGTATTTTCAAGCATCTAATACATTTGCCTGGAGCTTTTCCGAATTAAATCTTCTTTGTTTATATGCAACATAGAAAATGTAGTCTCAGTTTCAATGAATTTTTAATTTTGCTCAATCTTGCATTTGTTCAACCAAAAACAATTTAAGGAAGACCACGGCTATCACCCTCACAATGAGCAAATTCAGCTCCTCACTAGGGACTACTTGAGTCTGCCATAAAAATCAACAGTGTGAGTCTAATAGTTTTCTTTTAATTCAAACATTAAAAGGCAAATCATTACATCAAATATTCTGCAGGGTCTCTTTGGTTTCCAGATTAAACATGTACTATTACCTGTTATCTTGCCACATTCTCTTCATTTCCATTTTAAATAATCATAAATAAGAAAGCCTTGCTACTCTTTGGCACAACATGGCTGTTTGATTCAGCTGAGTTTCAAAGTCTTAAAAATTGCACTTATTCCTTTTTAGAGAGTCCTGGTTCATCTCAAAGGTTTTCAGCTGAAAGATTCTTTATTGTATTCAAATCTTGTCCCATATGAGTTGTTTTGGTTACTCAATTTATGAAGAGTCTTGGAAACTGAACTGGGTCCGCAGCAGAAAACACCAACTGTTTTCCTGGGAAAAGAGGAGGAAATGGAACATTAGGTGGAAAATTAGGCAGAACATGACAAGAAGCATTCCTTATGAGCAGGGATAAAGATATTAACAAAGTGAATTCCCTATTGCTCTACATATTGAAAACACTCTTACCAATTATCCCCATGTATAAGTGACTACCAGGAAAATGTTTATTTGCCTCGAACTTTTTATATTAGAACTAAGGATAATTCAGATAATGTAATAATAGTACATATTAGAATGAATGGCCTGCCTTAGGCTTTTCATTGCAGCCCATGGGTGAAGCCAGAAACCAAATCAAGAGCAGATGATATCCAACTCATCTAATATCATGTCCATTCTCCTCTTAGTAAGCATTTTAAACATATTGTGTAAAGACCTCACATAAATTTTTATTGACAGTGATAAATAAAAGAAGTATGATCAATTGGAAAGGATAATTTTAAATGACTAATTTATAACCACATTGAAAACAGAAAATGTATTAATCAATATACATTTTCTTTTTGTACTCCAATCATCCTAACAAATGCTAAGAAGTTTTATTACTCACTAACACAACATTTTAAAGTTAAATTATACATACTTTTTCCAAATGGGCTAAATAAATCCTAGGAAATGACTATTATTTCTCATTTAAAAGTTTGTTGGTTGGCTTTGAAGTTTTAGGGATATTAAAATGATTAATAATATATTATCTTAGAAAAATGGAGTATATTTCCGTTATCTGACAATGACAGATGATGAAATAAGATAGTGAATCCATTTAAATGGGTACTAAATATTCATAGTAAATACTAATAAAACAAAAAGTTTTATTGAAATATTTCACCTTGAAAAAATAGAGAATTATCAAAACAGAACTTTACTTGTGACCATAATAGTTTAACAAAGACTACACTTATTCTTTTTCATTAACAACTAGAAAAAAAAAACAAAATATATAAAGCAATTCTTTTCAGGAATTAGACAATATGCAGTGCAGAACTGTATACCCTGAGGTAAGGGAATAAATAAAATGACTCTAACAATTGTCTAAGCTTACTGTCTGGATTTAATTTCCAGGATGCAGCACAGAAAGGAGAAACCCCCTTAGACAGTAGGGTCTCACTGAGTTGAGATGTCAAAGAATGGAGACCAAGGAAACTAGAATATGTAAAGCAGATTATGGGAGAGAAGGGCGCTTCACAGGGAGAATCTCTGGAGAGCTGGACTTGGAAGTTGACATTTGAGGTCCAGAGATCTCAAGTCCTTGGCTGAGAACTTATCTGCTCATGAATGAGAGAAAACTATAGGAGAGCCATCAGGGAGGAGTAGGCCAAACAATTTCCAGAATTTACACAGAACTGGGAATAATTCATTGTCTAAAAGTTACAATGCAAAGACCTAATAATGCATGGAAGAATGAGTAGTGTTTTTAGAAAATGATTACCTTACAGGAGAAAACAGGGAAAAATAAGTCAGAATAAAAAATCTGCTCTTCACCTTCATTAATGAAGCATAAAAGTAAGCCTTAATGGATCAACTTGAACCCTAGTAACTTAACTCTATGCCATAAACAATTCCAACACTATAGAATAGCATAAAACAAAATCTGTCATCTAACAATGAAGACTTCAAAATATTCAGTCTTCAATAAAAAATTACTAAGCCTGCAAAGACGAAGAAAATATGAATTCAAACTAGGAGAAAGATCAATCAATAGAACAGATCCATAATGACAGAGAAGATGGAATTACCATGCATGGTCATTAAAACACCAATTATAAATTGACTTCATATACAAGAAGGTAGAGGAAAGCATCCATCTGATAAGAAGAGAAATGGGAGGGTTTTTTAAAGGCCTAAATAGAATTTCTAGAGATTAAAACCAATATTCAAAATAGTACACTGTATGGGTTAACAGAAGAATAGTCACTGCAGAAGAAAATATAAACTTGAAGATATAGCACTAAAACCAATTCAAAATGAAACACACAACTACTAAAATTTACATTTAATTGGACTCCCAACTAAAGAGAAGACATATCAAAAATATTGGAAGAATAATTGCCATTCTCCCCAAAATTTGAAGAAAACCAAATCACGAGGTTATTAATGACCCTCAAGGAAAATAAACAAAGAAAATCAATTAAGACAATTTACAATAAAATTACTGAAAAGCAGTGCTAAAGAGAAAAACACAAAAGCAACCAGAGGGGGGAAAATTACAAAGACATATTATACTTTACAAACAGAAGATCGAAGGTAAGAATGACATAGGACTTCTTGTCACATATTATACAAGTCAGAAGGCAATGAAATAACATAAAGTACCGAAAAAAGAAAAAAAAAAAAATCAACTAGAATTCTATATCAAGCAAAACTCTCTTCTGAAAATGAAGATGAAGTATATTTCCAGACAAACAAAAGCCTAGAGAATTCATTGTCGACAAATCTCCACTATAAGAAATATTAAGGAATGTTCTTCAGAAAGAAGAAAAATACTATCAGATGAAAATTTGAATCTACCCTCAAGAATGAAGAGCATAAAAATTGAAAATCCATGAATAATTATAAAATATAATCTTAATTTTCAGTCCCTTAAAAATAAAATTGATGTTTACAAATTATAATAACAGTGCATTATCAGTTTATAGCATATGTAGAAGTATGATGAATGATAACAATAACAAAAAAGCCAGAGTAGGAGAAATGGGAGTAATGGGGCATAGTGTTGTTGTTGTTGTTGTTATGTGCCGTTGAGTCTGCCCCGACACATAGCGACCCCTCCTTGGGTTGCCGAGGCAGTATCACTATGGAAGTAGATTGCCCAACCTTAGAGGTAGACCAAGATACACGAAGGACATACACTATAAACCTAGAATAGTATTTCTCTGATTTTAGTTTCATCAGAATCACAAGAAGGGTTTAATGAAACACAGTAGGGCCCCCGCCCCCCACTCAGAGCTTGTGATTCAGAAGATCTTGGATGAGTCTCAGAAATTCAATTCCTTTACAAATTCTCAGGGGATATTTGTCCAAAGAATGCAACTTGGGAACCAATATCCTAAACAATTACTGGAAACAAAGAAACAAACAGAGAGGTATGGCTAATATTCCAGTGCTGGAGATAAGATAAAATTATAAAAAAAGTAATTAATCCAAAATAAATCAAGAAAAGGAGAAGAAAAAAGAACAAATGAAATAAGTAGAAATAAATTAGTAAACTGCTAGATTTAAACCCAACTATATACCAGCCACTCCTCGGAAGGAAGGTTGGGCAATCCTACTTCCGTAGTGATACTGCCTCGGAAACCCAAGGAGGGGTCGCTATGAGTCGGGGCCGACTCGACGGCACATAACAACAACAACATATAGTGCCTAAGGCACTTGACTGACAATCAGAAGGCTGGCGGTTCAAACCCACCAGCCACTCCTTGGAAGGAAGACTGGGCAATTTACTTCAGTAGGGATACTGCCTCGGCAACCCAAGAAGGGGTTGCTATGCGTCGAGGCCAACTCGACGGCACATAACAACATATCGTCTATAAGGAGCTCTAGTGGCATAATAGGTAAGGCATTTAGCTGCTAACCAGAAGGTTGGTAGTTCAAATCCACCAGCTACTCCATGGAGAAAGATGAGGCAATCTACTTCCATAAAAATTTACAGCCTTTGAAATCCAATGGGGATCACTATGGATCAGAATGCACTTAATGGCAGTGGGTTTGGTCTAATACATTAAATATAATAGTTGAAACATTACAACTAAACAGCAAAAATTATCAAATTGGATTTAAAAGCAACATTCAATTTAAATAGTAAAAAAAAAGGTTAAAAGTAAAAGGTATACTAACTATGCAAACATTAAAGAAATTGAGGTGAGTTAATTATCTCAGGAAAAGTATACTTCAGAACAAAGATATTATCAGACATAAAGAGAGACATTTAATAATAATAATAATAATAATAGTAAAGAGGTCAAATCATTAAGAACACGTAACAATCCTAAATACACACACACACACACACATGCATATAAATCACAGAGCTTCAAATTACATGAAGCAAACTTGAACAGAATTACCAAGAGAGAGAAATCCATAATTATAATTGATGATTTCAACAGTCCTCTCTCAGTAACTGACAGAACAAGTAGAAAATCAGTATGTGTGTAGTAGGCTTGAATATCAATATCAACCAATAGGAACAAATGGACATTAACAGAATGCTTCGGCCAACAACAGTGGAATACACATTTTTTTCAAGTGTCCATGGAACATTCATTCAATAAGATATACCATATTCCGGGCCATAAAACAAACCTCAGTACATTTTAAAGAATTGAAATAGCAAAGAATACATTTTCTGACCCAAATCCAATTAAACTAGAATTAGTTTTTTTTTTTTTTAAAGCTATCTGGAAAGCCCAATTATTTGGAAATTAAACACCACCCTACTAAATAATTCACAGGTCAAGGAAAAAAGTTCCATAAAAATTAAAACAAAATGTGTCAAAATATTTGGCAGCTAAAGTGGTGTTTAGAGAGAATTTTATAGTATTAAAAAACAAATTGTAAATTAGAAAAAAAAAGAATAATCTGAAATCTAAGAAACTAATAAAAGAAGAGCTATTTAAACCCCAGAGTAAGCAGAAAATAAAGTGAGGAAGAAAATAAAGAAGTATGAAAATAAATGATGTTATGTTGTTGTTAGGTACCGTTGAGTCTGCTCCAACTCATACCCCTGGTATGTGCAAGAAAACGAAACAATGCCACTCCTGCAGTATCCTCACAATCCTGGGTATGCCTGAACTCATCACTGCAGCCACTGTCCCAATTGATCTCATTGAAGGTCTTCCCCTTTTTCGCTGATCCTCTACTTCACCAAGCATAAGATCCTTCTCCAGTGACTAGTCCCTTCTGACAACATGACCAAAGTACAGGAAGTGAAGTCTGACCATTCTTATTTCTAAGGACCATTCTAGCTGTATTCCTTCCAAGAGAGATTTGCTGGT